GTGTGTTACCTGTCCCAGGTGTGTGTTACCTGTACCCAGGTGTGTGTTACCTGTCCAGGTGTGTGTTACCTGTCTCCAGGTGAGTGTTACCTGTCCAGGTGTGTGTTACCTGTCCAGGTGTGTGTTACCTGTATCCAGGTGTGTGTTACCTGTACCCAGGTGAGTGTTACCTGTACCCAGGTGTGTGTTACCTGTCCCCAGGTGTGTGTTACCTGTCCCCAGGTGTGTGTTACCTGTCCCCAGGTGTGTGTTACCTGTCCCCAGGTGTGTGTTACCTGTCCCCAGGTGTGTGTTACCTGTCCCCAGGTGTGTGTTACCTGTCCCCAGGTGTGTGTTACCTGTCCCCAGGTGTGTGTTACCTGTCCCCAGGTGTGTGTTACCTGTCCCCAGGTGTGTGTTACCTGTCCCCAGGTGTGTGTTACCTGTCCCCAGGTGTGTGTTACCTGTCCCCAGGTGTGTGTTACCTGTCCCCAGGTGTGTGTTACCTGTCCCCAGGTGTGTGTTACCTGTCCCCAGGTGTGTGTTACCTGTCCCCAGGTGTGTGTTACCTGTCCCCAGGTGTGTGTTACCTGTCCCCAGGTGTGTGTTACCTGTCCCCAGGTGTGTGTTACCTGTCCCCAGGTGTGTGTTACCTGTCCCCAGGTGTGTGTTACCTGTCCCCAGGTGTGTGTTACCTGTCCCCAGGTGTGTGTTACCTGTCCCCAGGTGTGTGTTACCTGTCCCCAGGTGTGTGTTACCTGTCCCCAGGTGTGTGTTACCTGTCCCCAGGTGTGTGTTACCTGTCCCCAGGTGTGTGTTACCTGTCCCCAGGTGTGTGTTACCTGTCCCCAGGTGTGTGTTACCTGTCCCCAGGTGTGTGTTACCTGTCCCCAGGTGTGTGTTACCTGTCCCCAGGTGTGTGTTACCTGTCCCCAGGTGTGTGTTACCTGTCCCCAGGTGTGTGTTACCTGTCCCCAGGTGTGTGTTACCTGTCCCCAGGTGTGTGTTACCTGTCCCCAGGTGTGTGTTACCTGTCCCCAGGTGTGTGTTACCTGTCCCCAGGTGTGTGTTACCTGTCCCCAGGTGTGTGTTACCTGTCCCCAGGTGTGTGTTACCTGTCCCCAGGTGTGTGTTACCTGTCCCCAGGTGTGTGTTACCTGTCCCCAGGTGTGTGTTACCTGTCCCCAGGTGTGTGTTACCTGTCCCCAGGTGTGTGTTACCTGTCCCCAGGTGTGTGTTACCTGTCCCCAGGTGTGTGTTACCTGTCCCCAGGTGTGTGTTACCTGTCCCCAGGTGTGTGTTACCTGTCCCCAGGTGTGTGTTACCTGTCCCCAGGTGTGTGTTACCTGTCCCCAGGTGTGTGTTACCTGTCCCCAGGTGTGTGTTACCTGTCCCCAGGTGTGTGTTACCTGTCCCCAGGTGTGTGTTACCTGTCCCCAGGTGTGTGTTACCTGTCCCCAGGTGTGTGTTACCTGTCCCCAGGTGTGTGTTACCTGTCCCCAGGTGTGTGTTACCTGTCCCCAGGTGTGTGTTACCTGTCCCCAGGTGTGTGTTACCTGTCCCCAGGTGTGTGTTACCTGTCCCCAGGTGTGTGTTACCTGTCCCCAGGTGTGTGTTACCTGTCCCCAGGTGTGTGTTACCTGTCCCCAGGTGTGTGTTACCTGTCCCCAGGTGTGTGTTACCTGTCCCCAGGTGTGTGTTACCTGTCCCCAGGTGTGTGTTACCTGTCCCCAGGTGTGTGTTACCTGTCCCCAGGTGTGTGTTACCTGTCCCCAGGTGTGTGTTACCTGTCCCCAGGTGTGTGTTACCTGTCCCCAGGTGTGTGTTACCTGTCCCCAGGTGTGTGTTACCTGTCCCCAGGTGTGTGTTACCTGTCCCCAGGTGTGTGTTACCTGTCCCCAGGTGTGTGTTACCTGTCCCCAGGTGTGTGTTACCTGTCCCCAGGTGTGTGTTACCTGTCCCCAGGTGTGTGTTACCTGTCCCAGGTGTGTGTTGCCTGTCCAGGTGTGTGTTACCTGTCCAGGTGTACTCACCTGATTGGCTGCCGGCAGTGCGCGGCTGTCAGCACCCAGCGGGCGCTCACCAGGCTCCCCCCGCACAGGATCTGCCCCCCCTTGGTCAGGGCCACCTGGAACGGGCGCTGGGCCACCGAGCACGGCCGGCCCCCGATGATCCGCGACTCGTCCTCCTCGGGAACTGCCGGGAATAATTAATAACTAATAATTAATAACTAATAAATAATAATTAATACCTAATAATTAGTGATTAGTAATTTATAATTAATAATTAATCATTAATAAACAGTAATCAATAATTAATAATTAATAATGATCCACGACTCGTCCTCCTAGGGAACTGCCGGAAATAATTAATAATTAATAATTAATAATTAATAATTAATAATTAATAATTAATAGTTAATAGTTAATAGTTAATAGTTAATAGTTAATTATCAATAATTTATACTTAATAATTAATAATTAATAATCAATAATGATCAGCAACTCGTCCTCCTCAGGAGCTGCCGGGCATAATAAAAAATAATTAATAATTAATAATTAATAATTAATAATTAATAATTAATAATTAATAATTAATAATTAGTAATGATCCACGACTCGTCCTCCTCGGGACCTGCGGGGAATTAGTAGCAATTAATAATTAATAATTAATAATGATCTGCGACTCGTCCTCGGGAACTGCGGGGAATTAATAATGATTAATAATTTATAATTAATAATTAAAATTTAATATTTAATATTGATATTTAATATTTAAAAGTTATTTATGAAAAGTTATTACTTTGTTAATTATGAATTATGAATTATGAGTTATTATGGATTATCGATTAATGATTAATAATTAATGATGATCCGCATCTCATCCTCCTCCGTAACTGCCAGGTAAATGGGGAGAAAACCGGGGAAAATGGGAAAAATTAATAATAATAATAGTAGTAATAATAATAATAATAATAATAATAATAGCAATAATAATAGTAATAAAGGGGGAAAATAATGGGGAATTGGGGGGGAATGGGAAAATTGTTATTATTATTCCTATTATTATTATTATCATCATCTTCATTATTAATAATAATAGTAAATTCATAATAATAATGGAAAGTAATAATAATTGGGGGAAAAATAATGGGGAATTGGGGGGAAAATGGGCAAATTAATAATTATAATAATAATGATCCAGGACTCGTCCTCCTCAGAACCTTGTGACCACCTTGAGAGTGACCACCTGGACCTGTGGCCACCTGGACCTGTGAACACCTGGGCTCTGTGAACACCTTGAGAGTGACCACCTGGACCTGTGACCACCTGGACCTGTGGCCACCTGGACCTGTGACCACCTTGAGAGTGACCACCTGGACCTGTGGCCACCTGGACCTGTGACCACCTGGACCTGTGGCCACCTGGACCTGTGGCCATCTTGAGAGTGACCACCTGGACCTGTGGCCACCTGGACCTGTGAACACCTGGGCTCCGTGGCCACTTGGGCTCTGTGGCCACCTGGACCTGTGACCACCTGGGCTCTGTGAACACCTGGACCTGTGGCCACCTGGACCTGTGACCACCTGGACCTGTGACCACCTGGACCTGTGAACACCTGGACCTGTGACCACCTGGACCTTGTGACCACCTTGAGAGTGAACACCTGGACCTGTGACCACCTGGACCTGTGACCACCTGGACCTGTGACCACCCGGACCTGTGGCCACCTGTCCCAGGTGGATCTCAGGCCCCTCTGGACCTGTGACCACCTGGACCTGTGACCACCTGGTCCTGTGACCACCTGGACCTGTGGCCACCTGGACCTGTGAACACCTGAACCTGTGACCACCTGTCCCAGGTGGATCTCAGGCCCCTCTGGGCTGGTGGCCACCTGGTCCTGTGACCACCTGGGCTCCGTGGCCACCTGGGCTCCGTGGCCACCTGGACCTGTGGCCACCTGGACCTGTGACCACCTTGAGAGTGAACACCTGGACCTGTGGCCACCTGGACCTCGTGGCCACCTGTCCCAGGTGGACCTCAGGCCCCTCTGGGCTGGTGGCCACCTGGACGTCGTGACCACCTGTCCCAGGTGGATCTCCGGCCCCTCTGGTCAGACCTGGACCTGTGGCCACCTGGACCTGTGAACACCTGGGCTCCATGGCCACCTGGTCCTGTGACCACCTGGTCCTGTGGCCACCTGGACCTGTGACCACCTGGGCTCCGTGGCCACCTGGGCTCCATGGCCACCTGGGCTCCGTGGCCACCTGGACCTGTGGCCACCTGGACCTGTGGCCACCTGTCCCAGGTGGACCTCAGGCCCCTCTGGGCTGGTGGCCACCTGGACGTCGTGACCACCTGTCCCAGGTGGATCTCCAGCCCCTCTGGGCTGGTGGCCACCTGGTCCTGTGACCACCTGGTCTTGTGGCCACCTGGACCTGTGAACACCTGGGCTCCATGGCCACCTGGACCTGTGGCCACCTGGTCCTGTGGCCACCTGGGCTCCGTGGCCACCTGGGCTCCATGGCCACCTGGTCCTGTGACCACCTGGACCTGTGGCCACCTGGACCTCGTGACCACCTGTCCCAGGTGGACCTCAGACCCCTGTGGGCTGGTGGCCACCACCCCCGGCCGTGCCGTGGCCGCGGGATTGGGACATCGGCAGGGACTGGTGGGACTGGTTTGGACTGGTGGAGATTTCCGGAACCTCCCGGCCTCTGGAATCCGGAGCCTCCTCCCACGGCCCCATCCCCAACTCTGGGGGGCCCAAATCCCGGGATTCGGGGGGATCCTTTAGGGGAGGGGCTTTTTCGGGAATTCCAGAACTTTCCGGGATCCTCTGGATCCTCCTTCCCGCGGGAAACCTCTCCTGGGAACGGTCCCACCCTGAAATTTGGGAATTCTCCCGCCCCGGGCAGGATCGGGGATGCCGGGATTGGCGGATTTGGGTTAAAAATCGCCGGGATGGGGTTGGGATCCCAAATTCCCGGCTGGAAAATCCCGGGAATTCCGGGGGGGATCAGGGCTGGGAGAATTCCCGGCGGGATCCAATCCCTCCACGGGAATTCCCGGCGGGAATTCTCCAAAACCGCTTGGCTGGGGGGAGAAAAAAAAAAAACAACCCCAAAATCCGGCGGATCCGACCCAAAATTCCCGGAGATCCCGGAGGAGGAGGAGGAGGAGGAGGAGGAAGAAGAGGAATTTCTCCATCCCGGAATTCCCGAAATTCCCGGGGAAATTCCCAAAAAAAGACGCCACTCACGCTCCTGGCTGCCATTCCCGGTTCCCTGAGCCTGGGATCCGCCGAGGAGGAGGAGGAGGAGGAGGGGGATGAGGGGGATGAGGCCGAAGGCTCCGGGTCCATCGGGAGCCATTCCTGGCAGGGAAAGAAAAAAAAAAAAACCGGGATCAGCCCCTGGAATTTTGGGGGGGGG